GCATAAAGGTTATCTGCAGTAAAGAATAGTGAGAATCCCTAGACCTTATTTTAAAAGAAGAAGAAGAAAGATAGGTGCTATTTTTTTTTTTTTTTAGCTAGAGGTGGCAAGCATCTTCCATCCAGCATATGCTTTTGAGATTTGTCCATGTTGGGGTGTCACTGGAATCACACCTCAGTCATAGACATTCTGGTAGTAGGCTGTTGTTATTAATGAACATGCTGATTTCTAAAGTCTCCTGATGTGTTCTTTGTTTTAGGTCATGATTGCCCAGGGTATGATAATCACTTGAGGATGCTCCCTGCTGCAGATATCATTTGACTCATCAGAAAACTGTTTTTAAAAGAGAAAATCCATATCACCAGATCCATTTCTTTATTGAATGGCTTGATGGATTTCCTGTACTTGGATCTATGCCAAAGCTGCCCTTCTCAACCAAAGCAAGAAAGAAATCTGCATGAATCAGTCCCAGAATGCCATTTCTACATCACCAATAGGTGAAGAAAACCTCATGAATATCAATCACAGAGACTCAGAGAGCATCACTGGTGAGTCTAGATTAAGAAAGGGTCGAGTGCTAGAGAAATCTGAGTCCAGTGTATAAGACCTGCGTGATGAACCTGAGACCTCCCATTCTAGCATGATCGCCCCAGAGACAGAATGAATTAGTAACTCCATTCGCTTTCACCCATGACATTTCAGTTTGTGTTGTCTGCTGTTCCTTGTCTATGTCTGACTCGGCTGTATTGCATAAGCCCCTAGTGAGAAGGAACAATGTCATATTCATATTTAGCTTTTTAATCTCCACAGGGTAAGGACAGAATTACTTGTGTTTATATAACTTGCAAGCATCTGACACTACCTGTCACATAAGACACTCCCAAGGCTTAACAGGGTATACACACTTAGTTGGTGGTTATTGTGAGGTGCCGATTTCAGCTCAAGTGACTCTTATATGACACCGTACAGCTGCCTTTCCTAGGAGCCCTGGTGGTTTCGTGGTTATGCATTGGGTTGCTAATCACAAGGTCATCAGTTTGAAACCACCGTGGGTTCGGCAGGAGAAAGAGGAGAGTGTCTATGCCTATAAAGAGTAATCGTTTCCAATACCTATAGAAAGTTCGACCCTGTCCTATTAGGGTCACTATGAGTCAGAATCAACTTGATAGCAGTGAGTTGGTTAAAGTTTGGAATCTTTCCGGAAGCAGTTAACCCTGTATTTTCTTTCATGGAACAGCACAGTGATTCGAAATGCTAACTTTTTGGTTAGCATCTCAGCACTGCATGGCCACTGGGTTTATTATAGACATAGGTATGGGCCCATGACCTTTTATCCACAAGACAAAAATTTCTGAATACTCATTCATCCATAAAACCTGACAGGCGGGACATATCTCAAGGGGTTCCCCTTCCTCCCATTTACTTGGACAGTCTTGCTTGTTGAGGAGGAATTAGTGTATTTAGATATGGGGTGCTGCCATGAAAACAACACTTGGACAACATCAGTAAATGCACAGTGCTATAAATTCTAAAGCTTGAAACCCCATCTAACCCCATATTGTTTTTGTTATTGCTGCTGTTTTCATTTAGAATCAGCTTTATTGAATAAAATATATACGCTTTAAGTGTGCAGTTTAAGTTAGGAGAATTATAACCCCCTTAAAATCAAGGTAGAGCACATTTTTGCCTCCATCTCTGGCTCCAACTGTCAGTCTGCTTTCTTTCATCATAGAAGTTCATATGAATTGAATCTGTGTTTCTGCAATGCAAAATGTTTGAGATTGAAAATACACTGTAACATGAATAAGTAGTTCGTTCATTTTTATTGTTGTTGCAACTTGTCAACTTTGCTCTTGTGGCAGGAAAGTAACCATAGACAGACAATACACAAAAGAATGAAATTCTCTGATGACTAATGATGTTGAGTCATATTTTAGTTGTCTATTTAAATTGTTTGCCTATTTTTAGGTAGGTATTTATTATCTTATGAGGGTTCTTTTTATTGTCTAAATGTTAAGTCCCTGGTCAGATAAATGAATTTGTGAAAGTCTTCTTCCAGACTGGCGTGACTTTTCATTTCTTAATTGTGTGTTTTGAAGAGAAGTTTTAGATTTCATGGAGAATATGGTTGAGCCGTTTCTGCTTTTACTATTCATATTGTATGTGTATTCTTTCAAAGAAATCCTTGCAAACTTCAAAATCAAGAGTCTTCTCCATTTTTTAAGTTGTAAAGATTTTGACTTGATATTTAGGTAAGGCCCATTTTATACTTAATTTTGAATATGGAATAAAATTAGATCCTGAGTTTTTGTGTTGTTTATTTCAATCGAACATTGTTTCTCCACCTTTTGTTGAAAACACCATCTTATCCCCCTTTTGAATTTTCTTGTTAGTTTCATTAAAAATCGCTTGTGAGTATATGTGATTATTAACTCCATTAACTGTTTTAGTAACATTTCTTGTAGATCCCTTAGCATTTTTTACATATACCTAATTCACCAATTCTACACCAGCGCTTCCTCCCGTGATGCTCTATTTCTCTGTTAGGTTTAATAATCTGTTGCAGTAGCCACACAGAACTCACAGACAAATTTCACAATTAAGGGGGTGTATTAGGGGAGTTAACAGGTTTCCATGAACTAGGATCAGAAGACATTAAAAGGAATATAGTCGGGTCCACAGCAGAGCTGCTGCATAGCTAGCAGCCAAGTCTTTCTGGTCCTCAGCCTCTTAGCCTCTGGTCTCCGTCAGCTAAGTAAACCTGTCCACTGCTCTGCCTCCTGGTTTCATAGTCTCTCTATTGCTCCCCTGCTCAGTGCCATGGTCTCCTAGCCTCAGCTTTGGTCTTGGTGTGGCATAGCATTGCTTGTCTCAAGATGGCACAGCATTAGTTGTCTCAAGGTGGCATAGCATTAGTTGTCTCAAGGTGACGTAGCATTACTTGTCTCAGGGTGACATAGCATTACTTGTCTCAAGGTGGCATAGCATTACTTGTCTCAAGGTGGCATAGCATTACTTGTCTCAAGGTGGCATAGCATTAGTTGTCTCAAGGTGGCATAGCATTAGTTGTCTCAAGGTGACGTAGCATTACT